ATTGATGAGCAGTCTTTGTTCTTTGTTGGATGTTTTGTAGAGATGCCTCAGTCACCTACCCACCGACGCTGTTGGGTTCTTTCTTGAACAGAAATCCCTCATTTACAAAGAAGGGAGCTCTACTTATATTTGCATATTGTTTAAGAAATTCTTTTCTCACTTAAAAATGCATAAAACATTCTCTTAAATTCTCTACAACTAGCCTTGTAGTTCTACCATCACAGCTACGTTTTTATCCACTAGCCCTTTATATCTATAACAAGAGAGAGAATTTCAATCTTAATTTTCAAAATGTAATTGGCCAATTTGCTAACTATATGCTAAATATTCTTCTTACCCCCAATTAATTTGTGATTTCACTTTATTGTACAAAATTCCCATCTGCTCCTAGGTTCTATATCCTTTTCCCTTAATCTTTGTCTAGTCTTACACTACTGCCCCACTGTTTCTGTTACTGTGACTTTGTACTATAACAATGTGTGGCAGGACAATTCCTTTCCCTCATTTTCCTTCAAACTTTACATTGTTGTCTGTGGACTTCTATTCTTTCATATAAATTCAAAAATCACTTTGTCAATTCCTCACATATTCACAAAATCAGGACTTTGGTTGGGAGACCCATAAATTTATGAGTGAATTCCGAGGAAATTGTATACAGACTTGTATGTTGTTATTCTATCTACGAACATGGTATATTATTTTATTTATATCTTCTATGTTCTGTAGTAGAATTTCAAGATTTTCTTGGTAAAGCTCTGAGTGAAAGGTTAATAAAATAGGTACTTGTCACTCCGTTTTTCTATATGCTTAACAAAACACTGTTGAAATCTTAATAACTGTTTGCTAATCTTGTTCCCAGAATGTGCTGTCCCCTAACTGTGAACTGTTTGCTAATCTTGTTCCCAAAATGAGCTGTCCCCAACTGCCAAACTACAAAATGTAACTTCTCTCCCTGCCCTCTCCAAGGAAATTTTTTTTTTTTTTAGAGAGTGAGAGAGGAGAGAGAGAGAGAATTTTTAATATTTATTTTTTAGTTCTTGGCGGACACAACATCTTTGTTGGTATGTGGTGCTGAGGATCGAACCCGGGCCGCACGCATGCCAGGTGAGCACGCACATCCCCAGCCCCCTCCAAGGAAAGTATATAAGCTCTGCTTAAGCTGTTCTCAGGGCTCTATCTCTCTTTGCTATAGTGAGCTCTGAGCCCCAGCATGCTGGTCTCCAAATAAACCCTCCCTTCTGCTGTTGCATAAGACAGTCTCTTGTGGTCTCTTCCTCCGATGTTTCGCCGGACCCTTACATGAGTTCATTGTTTAATTATTAGACCCTTTATAGTTGTAGATGAAACCTTATTTATCTTTAATATTGCTTAATATTTAATTTTCTAATCAAGTTATTGCTGGTGTAGGAAAAGACTATTGTTTTTTTAAATTTATTTTTATTTTGTGGGTGCTTTACTACTGAGTACATCCCCAGTCCTTTTGTACTTTGAGACTGGGTCTTGCTAAATCCCTCAGGTGGGCCTCAAACTTGTGCTCCTCCTGCCTCAGCCTCCAAGTCACTGGGATTTCAGTGCACCACTCATCTTGCTATTGATCGTTTTAAACAGATGTTTTATCCTGAAACTTTGTTGAAAACTTTATCAAGATTCTGAATGACCCACAGCTTGGCATCTTCCTCTCCCAAAGAGTGGAAGGGAAGACCACCACTTCTCCAGCTCTCCAAGGATTAGCAGTGAGCAAACAATCCATGAATCTGGAGGTCTCTCTGAGACTTGCTGAAACGAAGTCATTAGTTTGAAGAGAAGGAAGTCCATGGGCTGTAACTTGAAATGCTTGCATGAAGGGCATAAGTGGCCTAGGTGTAAGGCAACAGGAAGTGGTGGGGCCTGGGGCAAGCCAGAAAGCACGGACTCTATCCAAAAGGGAAGGACCTCTTCAGCCTCACCTACTTCTTGCCACCCAGTAGCAAAAGCCCAGGTTTTTCACACCTTTACATTTTTAAGGAGAACCTCATATGATGGATTATAACATGTTGGCAACTAATTAAAACTTTAAAAATTACTATGTGGGCCCCCCCCAAAAATCATATCTATGGGTTAGATTTGTTTCCCAATCGACTGGCCCACAGCCTCTGGTTTAAGAATGTATGGAGTGGAGGGACAATAGGGCAGTAACCTAATGTCACCTTTGAACCTGGCCTTTCGTTCCCTCTTTCCTTTCCACCCACTCTGCGCTGTGTTTTCTGGACGGGTTTTTACTCCAGCCACTGGGACACCAGCTTTGGGGAACTTAGTCTAGAACTTAGGAGAGAAGGGGACGGTCAATGCAGGAGAAGGTGTGGGTTAGACCCAGAAAATTCAATCTTGAAGAGTCCCCAGAGAACGGAAGCGTAAGAGGGGTCTGAATTGACAATTAGTCCTCCAGCTTCACGGAGGCGGCTGGCCCCGGAGCTCTGCCTGCATTTCTAGCCTTGAGTGGACAACTGGAGCAGGCCAGGCTGGCTCCATGCGTCCACGGTCTGCACTTGAACCATTCTCTCCTGTTGTTCTAGGTGGGACAACAGGCTGATTGTCCCCAGTCCCTTAGAATGTGACGGTATTTGGAGATGGAGTCTTTAGAGAAGTGATGAAGGTAAAATGAGGTCCAGTGTCTGGACCCTAATCCAACGGGACTGGGGAAGGATCTATTCATTATTAGAAGAGATTTGGGCCCACGCAGGGAAGACCATATGAAGACACCGAAGAAGACCATCTGCAAGCCAGGGAGAGGATGTAGGAGGAACCACTCCTGCCAACACCTTGATCTTGGACTTCTGTCCCCCAGAAGTGTGATAAAATAAATTTCTGTTGTTTGAGCCCCTCAGTAAGTAGGGCTTTGTGACAGAAGCCCTCCTGAATGAATGCACTTGGGTTTCTTGGAAAGTGGAGTACAGAGTTGGGTGTGAGGACTGTGGGGAAATCCTGTAAGTGAGGAGGATACAAATGGGCACAGTGAGAAGTTGGGTTCAGTGAGATAGAGCTCTGGAGTTGTTCTGAATTGAGGCATGGGGACAGTTTTCCCATAGGAATCATTCTCATGAAGGGAGACGGTATGATCTTACTCCCAGTGTCTGGAGACACTCTTGGATGTCACAACTGGGGAAGGAGGAAGGAGTGAGGGAAGAGGGCAGTATGTGCTACTGGCCTATAGTGGGTTAACATCCTGTCCTACAACACAGAGCCACTTGTCTCAAGTGTCAATAGTACTGAGACTGAAAATCTCCTCCTGTATCAGCAGCCACGGGCTGCTCTTGCAAGGGCATACCGCTGGCAGATCCCACAGCTAAGGAAGATGCCCAGCAAGCAACCTAGGTTCCCAGCAGCTGGGGAGTGGAGTGTTTGCCTTGAAGAGTGGTTCTGAGCAGGGCAAAGAGCCCACTGTCTGGCCCCTGAGATTTCTTTTTCTAACAAATATAACAACCAACCATGTTCAGGGTACACACATGATCTCTGTTAAGCCTCTTGTGTGAAGCCCAAGAGGTGATAAGATATTCCTACTCCCATTTTATAGTGCAAGAATCCGTGACCCAGAGAGTAATCAATGCCCGAGGTTACTGAGCCAGAAGGTTTCAGAACCGGAATTTGCACTCCGGACAGCTAGACTCCAAAGTCTGGCTCTTGTGCAAATCTCGAAGGCAGCCTTTGTAAAACAGCAATTAACACAGCAGAAACAGGGCCAATTGCAGGCTTAACCTAGATTAACATAAAGCCCAGCCTCGGAGCAGCCAGAGGTCCCTGAACAATATGTGACACTGCAAACATCACGGGGCCAGACCTTGAGCTCAGGGTTCCTGGAAAGAAGTTTCCTGCCACCTTTATATCCACAAATGATAATGGGTTACCAGAAATAATCTCTCATAAGGAGGACTTTTTCTTTTAATCCCACTCAGGGAGAATGCATGAACTTAGCACTTTGTATGATAACCGCAGAAACTATTAAAAAAGAGCACTTTCCAGTAGTCGATTGTATAAAAATAATTTTATTTACTACTGTAAATAAAGTAGTGCAAAGAGTAGTTTAACCCCACAATATTGCATTACTGATTTATTTTTACTACCTTAGCAGCATACAGTATAACGACACTCTGCTCTTCCTTGCCCTCTTACACACACACACACACACACACACACACACACACACAC